GCGGCGCCCCGCGGGCCCCGTGAGGCGCCTGGGAAAGGCGTTGTGGGTGTGCGCCGAGCGTGTTCTCGCTTTGTGCCGCTGCGTGGCGGGGCTGGGGCTGGAGGGTTGCACAGCCTTGTGCTGGGGCTGGAGAGCACGTTCGACCCTCCCACGTGTGTGTGAGTGAAAAACACCCCGTCGCTGCGAGTCGCTTTTTACAGGTAGGCGTCGCAGTGGATGGCACCTGAGGTGTAAACTTGAGTTTTCACGTGCCTGCGTCTTTTTCGTGAGGACTGAAATGGCTGACCGTTAAATTAACAAACAAGGCTGTCAGGAGACTTTCATTTGTACAGCAAATCAAACGTGAACCAGCTTTTACTTCTTAAACGGCTGATTTCTGTCCACAGTTTAGGAGGTCGTAGAGCATGTCTTTCCGTGGAAGAGGAGGTGGAGGGGGAAGAGGAGGTGGCTTCAATCGTGGAGGAGGTGGCGGCGGTGACAGAGGTGGCTTTAATCGCGGTGGACGAGGTGGCTTTGCACGGGGAGGTGGACGAGGAGGCTTCAACAGAGGCGGATACGACCAGGGGCCTCCAGAAAGGGTAGTTTGTAAGTTACGTGAAGAGATTATATTTATTTAATTTAGAATGACTGCTCCAGATCTTTAGCTTGTTTGTTCTTTATTTCAGTATTGGGAGAGTTCATGCATCCGTGCGAAGATGACATTGTTTGTAAATGTAAAACAGAAGAAAACAAGGTGCCTTATTTCAATGCCCCAGTGTACTTGGATAATAAGGAACAGATTGGCAAAGTGGATGAAATCTTTGGACAGCTGAGAGATTTTGTATCCTTTGAAAAAATGTGTGATGTACCATATGGGTTTGTTGAAGGCTGATTGATTATTAAATGGAATTTCTCTAGGATTTTAAAGTAGTTCAAGGCTTGGCTACCAGTTAGATGTTAGTCACAAGTCTAGCTGGAACTGATGGTGTCGGTAGGTGACTCATTCACATTACGTGCCTAACTTAAAGCTTTTCCAGTATGACAGACTACCTTATGTTGGTGTCGTGGTTTAACTCCAGACAGCAGCTAAGCACCGCACAGCTGATCACTCGCTTCCCTCCCCCCCCCCGCCAGGTGGGATGGGGGAGAGAATTGGGGAAAAAAGTAAAACTCCTGGGTTGAAAAAAGAACATTTTAATAGAAGGGAAAGGAAGAAAATAATAATGATAATAATAACAGTAATAAAATGACAATAATAATAAAAGAATTGGAGTGTATAAAACAAGTGATGCACAACACAATTGCTCACCACTCACCAGATGATGCCCAGTTAGTTCCCAAGCAGTGATCCCCCCCCAGGCCTGCTCCCCCCAGTTTATATACTGGGCATGACATCACATGGTATGGATTATCCCTTTGGCCAGTTTGGGTCAGCTGTCCTGGCTGTGTTCCCTCCCAACTTCTTGTGCCCCTCCAGCCTTCTTGCTGGCTGGGCATGAGAAGTTGAAAAATGCTTGACTTAGTCTAAACATTACTTAGCAACAACTGAAAACGTTGGTGTGTTATCAACATTCTTCTCATACTAAATCCAAAACATAACACTATGCCAGCTACTAGAAAGAAAATTAACTCTATCCCAGCCAAAACCAGGACAGTTGGGCAGAGGTTTTCAGTCAGTACCAGTACTGGCAGATGTCTTTTGGATCCACGGTGGTTCGAGATGTTACTTTTTTTGAGCTACCCGACCACGTTTTCTGCTATAGATTACTTGCCTATAATAGAGTTGGATCAAGGGAGCGGGTTTTTTTTGTGCGTTAGAGGACCTTGCTCATGCTCCAGCTTATTACTTAATTATAAAGGTGAATTTGTGCTAGGAAGTCCTATTGCTCATTGTCCAGCTTATTACTTAAACTGCCAATAAAAGGGGGTTCGTGCTAGGTTGTCCTTTTGCAAAGCAAGCTTGTTGAGACAGAGGCACTGGGTCCATTCTGTTGTCACTGCCAGATTGACAGAATCCATGACAAAAGCAGGACAACTAGGGGAGTAACCCTTTAACGTGGCAGTAAGACTTAGCCTGTGTTGGCTGGTTGAGCATCAGTAGCTAGCTGTATGCATTTTCCTCTCCCACATTAAATGTGAAGTAAAATGTGAAGGTTTAAATCACTCGCACGCTCTGAATGTATTAACTTGCAGATTTACTTTTTTTATTGGAATTATTTGAATTTCAGAAACTTGCTTCCTTCCTACAACAGCATATTAAGAAAATACGTTACTGGATTTTGCAGCTCCTTGCTTCTCCATTTAATTTTGAATTGTAATTAAGCAGAGTTGGCCAGCAGCTCCTTTTGATCTTGGGAACCCCGAACCAATGTCCTTGCATACTAGAGAGCCAAAGGATTCATGCAAGACTGCATGGAGAGTTACAGAGAGTGTCTGCCACTTCAGTGTAGAATGAGGCTGGGCATGTGGTTGGTCCAGCAGTCCCTGCTGGCTCTTACCTTTCCACAGTCAGGCAGTTGTACCAGCAGCAGCAGCAGCAGCAGCACTAGCAGAGCCCCTGCAGCATATAAATTGTTCCAGATAAGCCTTGAGGTCACCCTGGGCCTAAAGAGGTCATCACTTGCTATACAAATTTGTTTCTTTACAATTATGTTTTTATGTACTCTTTCCACTGCTGTGTTCTTCCTTATGCTTTAATACATGGAGGGAAAAAATGATTTTGCCACAAAACACTGTATTTGTAACTATGAAAAAAACATGAGAAAAATTGGAAATAGTTTCTCCTGATCTTTTAATTGTAGTTTTTCATTTGCGGTGATGATGTTTAACTTCATTTATAAAATACTAATTTAGAAAATATCTGAATGTGCCTTTCATATAGTAATCAAAGTCACGATTTCTAATGTTTTATTCCTGCCGTGTTCCTTAAAGAAACTAACAGTATTTTTCAGTGAAACTGTCTGAGAACATGAAAGCCTCTTCATTTAAAAAAATGCAAAAGGTTAGCCAATCTCAATAACAGAATTCTACTGTATCTCATGAGTTAGATAAATCTACTCTGTCATCACATAATAAAAGCTTTATTAAGTTTTTATTAACTTTAAATGCTAGTTGTCCTTTATAAACATTAAGTATTCGTTTCCTCTTCCTTTTCACTTTTGTACCTGCCACATTCTTCTTTCTCCCTGCCTCGCAAAAAAAGATGTAGCGAATGAAACTCAAGCATCATCTATGTTTTAATAACTTTATAACACTTTGGTTTAATTCTTGCATGCTTTCTTTATTTGGCTATTTGCAGAGGACAGTTGGACATAAAGGGTTGAGACCCAGTTGTGGATATTTGTAAAGGGAGACATTAATCTGCTCTTTAGTCTTGGTATTTTCAAAGCCTGATGGAACTCTCTTTCTACAGTTTTACATTGATCCAGCAAAGCTGCTACCCCTTCAGAGATTTTTGCCAAGGCCACCTGGAGAAAAAGGTGCTCCCAGAGGAGGTGGTAGAGGAGGACGTGGTGGTGGACGTGGAGGAGGAAGAGGTGGTGGTAGAGGTAAGATCCCAAGAATGGGAGCTGCAGAATGTTGGCTTTTATTTGGTGTGGGGCGGGCTGTTTTGGGGGGAGAGGAGGGCAGGTATTTTGGGGGTTGGTTTTTTTTGGGGGGGGTATTGGTAAAGCTGCCATTGAGTTACCTGAATATCAACAGTTGTATTGCAAAGAAAAATGTTAAGCATATTTGTTTGATGACTCAACGGAAGAGATGGTGATATCTCTCCAACGGCAAGACCTAGGCTTCTGTAGCTAGCTAAATAACAGCTCCAAAACATAGGGAGGAGAGTATGCTTGTTTATAAGAGACAGAAAGCATGGCTACTAAGCAAACTTGTGGTAAAAGGTTGTAGATAATACACAAAATTGTCAGTGAAAGCTGTATTTTTAGTATGTTCTAAAAATCTAGTTTGGACAAAATACTTCAAATGCAATGTTTGAGAGGGGTGAATGACCTGGTAGATCTCATTCTTTGCTTTTTCAACATCGTTTGTGATGTACTCGTCAATTAAAGCTGAAGTTAATTTTTTCTTACATTGCAGTTTCTTGCCTCTTCTCCCTACCCTGCCTCTTTGCAGCAAGGCAGAAGTGTTTCAAAGTTTTGTTGAGTTGTAATTAATTAATAATTAATAGTTTTAATTAATTTTTTACTCTTATGAAAGAAGTTTATCATGGAGTTTTGTTAGTGTCTTTAGTATTTTGGATATTGTATATCAGTTATTAAACAATACCTAAAATGCTGCAGATGGTCCCTAGCAGTGACAAGGTACTAGTAATTGACCTAGTAACTGTCCAGCAATTGACAGTTTCTGGTTTTTTGTTGTTGTTGTTTTCCTTTCAGAAGCTATCAATGAAGTAAGTTGTTATGCATGACAAAGAATTTATATGCTCCTCAAAGTGTAATTTCTTTTCTATGTTTAGGAGGATTTGGAGGAGGAAGAGGAGGAGGAAGAGGAGGAGGATTCAGAGGAGGAAGAGGTGGAGGAGGAGGATTCAGAGGAGGAAGAGGTGGTGGAGGAAGCTTTCGGGGTGAGTGTGGTTTTTACATTTCAGTAATAAGAGTGGCTCCTGATATCTAAAGCTTTTAAATGTTAAACAATGTTGTATTTTTTAATCTCTTACAGATGTTTATAGTTTTATGCAAAAAGCTTCTGTGCATCACAGTAGCTAGCTTAAATCGAAGCATAGTATTCTGCATTTTTTGATGCTGTGTAAGACCATGCTAGTTTTTTTGCATTCAAAAAGGACTGTGAGAACAGCTAATTATGATAAATTATTTTATTCTAAAAACTCCTTTAGTGTTATGTATATAATTTATTTGCTTTAAATGCATCTAAGATGTGAATTGTTTCTTCTTCCCTCTTAAAATAGGAAGAGGCTATTAAAAATGGAGCCACAAGTATCTCCCCGCTGTCTTACCGTATCATCTACAGAAATGAAGAACAAGGAAAAATTTTTGTAAAGCACCCTGAAAAAGCTCTTTTTATAAAGAACTTGAAGCTGTAAAATGACAACTGTTTTTACACTTAATGACTGTTGATCAGCAAATGAGGACAGCGTAGCCCCAGGTGAAGAACAGAAGACTGCTCAGAATATACTTGAACTTTTTTAACTAAGTCAGGATTCAATGTTATTCTTAAGCTGTTTGTTTCTGACAAGTGACATAGTCAATGCTTGACTTCATGTTGGAGTTTGGAGTAAACAATCAATTGAAATATTTTTTCACAAAACCCTACGGGTTCACTACATGCACACTTGTCAGTATGAACCTGTTACCTACATGTGACTGATCCCTAGTTCTCATCCTCTTTTTGTATTGAATCTTCTGGGTTGCTCTGAAGTGGACGTGCCATTTAAACAACCTTTGTGAACCTTTTTTTTACAAACTAAACTTCAAAATTTTGTGTTGATAGAATTTTTTTATACATAATAATGTATAAAAGGAAAGGAAGATAGCAAAGGATATTTTGTGGATTTTTCTGTATAAATCTCAATGAAAGCCAAAGGCATTAAGACGTGTTCCTTCTGTAGAAGCTATCTAATGAATCAGACAAGGTTATTCTTAAGTCACCTAATTGTACCTAATTACACTGATACTAAAATTGCTAAGAGTTTTAACTGTCCCCACCTCCTCCTTAGCCTGTCTCTCTTGAGGTTTTGATGTCCTGGCATCACACCTCTGGTGCTCTGAGCTTGTGTAGGACTAAGATTAGATAGCCCATCACAGGGTTCCTCTGCACACAGTGCTTTCAGTTAAGTATTGCTTAAAAAAGGCATGAAAAAATTCCATGAATCTGGTCTCCAATCCAATTAAAATTTGGATGCATTATGAGGATTGTTGAAAAGGTACTAACTGCCCCTTCTTAAGGGTGGAGGAGAACAGCGTGCATCTCTACTCTAACTTTGGAAATAAAATAGGAATAAAAAAGTAGAATCTCCCTGGATTTCATCCAGAGCCAGGAGTCTGTTCACAGACTCTCATACCAAGCACTTTTGAAAAGGGATCTGCAGAATAATTACATGAAAGTATTTTGAACATCTTGTTCATTGTAGAAAGAAGTACATTTCAGAATTGATCGTACTGTTGTATTTTTTAATTAATGAATGCAGTAACAGGCAAATGAGTTGTATTAGCCTTCTGCATAACAAAAAGAAACAGGTAATTTGTCAGCACCAGGATTGCCGTGTAACTGGTCATTTTAACAAACTTAGTTTGAATAATCTCTGGAACAAGGTTAGCAAAACAAATATTCAAGAATTCAGTTAAGTCTGAACAGATGCTGCATAGGATAACAGATAAAAAGTGTTCTTCAGCTTAAAAAAACCAAACCACAAAACATTGGAATTTCTGCTAGATCTGCTTTTGTGAGAAGAAACTGAGTCTACTTTTCAACCACAGCACAATTGGGAATTGAGGGATACCGATTATATTCCTGGTATTGCTACAGACTTAACTTTAACCAGGTCAGTTAAATCCAGACCTCTGAAGATGTTTAGACTTGTTGCGGTGTATTGCTGGGCCTAAGTGAGTTAGGGCTCTGATTTGAGGCACTGTAGAGTTGCCCTTTATCTAGACAAACCCTGCGCAAGTCGTTGCATCTCTGGCATACCACATTGCAGTTGAACAATACTAACCTGCAGTGGAGCTGGAATTACCATGTCTTTTGTTGTGTTTGTAATTGCAACCTCTGCTGTGCTGTATTCACTGATGCTTCAGTAGCTAGTCCTGGGTAGCTGACTTAGATCTTCCCTTATTTTTCGAGCTTTGGAAGACTAACATAACACAGTCCTCACTCTTATACCCAAATTCATGTTCTGCTTTGCTATTCTCACTGCATGCTTTAGGGGCATACTTTATCCCAGGGTATCAGAAGACTACTGCCATCACTTTTAAATTTCATAACGTGACAGCTGATGTTTTAATTGCATGAAGTACCATCTTGCAGCCTAGGACAAGAAGTGTATGCTTTGAATCTCACAGCAGATGGAGCAGTGAGTCAGTCTGAAGCCGCTGCAAGAAAGCAAAGAATTTTACATCTGTGTGTGGAGGGGTTAAAGAACAACATCCATTGCAACTCTAGAGGGAACACCAGCCTCTTGATATTGGGAACTGTATTGCAGTCCCAGCTGAGAAATGATGAGGAGCATTATGGCATTCCCTACACATATAAATAATGTTGGATGGGATTAACACAAATACCCAGAGAAAATGTGTAATGGATCTTTGTGGAGGTTGTAGGATGTTCAGGTGCTGATGGAAGAATGTCCTCAGTGACTGGGTGTGAAATGAGCTGCCATATGAGGAGGCAGTGTCTGGACATGTCTGCTATGTGGTTGTGCCTTCCCCCCCCGCCCCCCCCCTTTCCCCAGAACTGGGAAGGATTGTGTTTGGTTGTGGCAAGGCCCATCTAGTCCCTGTTCTGCCTTGTTTTCTCTCTGCCATGGCATGACCCTGCCCTCCTAATGCAAGTAGTTGCTAACTGTAATAGATGAAAATTCAGTGTCTTAAAAAAATTAAGACATGTCTTGTCTACAGCGTAGTGCTACAATGAACTAAAATAGAAGTTCTCTAATCTTATATGACACCTTCCTCTCCGTCTTGAACTTTTTATTCAAATCCTGTCTGTGATTCTGTCACTGTGCTCCTGGTCCTAGTGAGTGAAGTGTTTGAGTTTTACATATGTGCTTACAGATGTCCTAGGCTTTTTCTGCAGAGAATAGGAAAGGTGGGCTTACCAGCACCCTGACAGAAACAGGTATGTTGTCAGAAGGGGGAAGTTTCAAGTAGCTGTAGTGTCTGGGGAAAAAAGTCAGTGCAGTCTGAAGCAAGGGGGATGGGGGAGAGGTGTTGGTGGCAGTGTAGGTTCTTGATGATGGTTTGGTGTTCCCTTGATTTCCCCTCACTGGCAGCCTTTGGGGCAAATGGCTGGGCCACCTAAAGAACTTCTCACCTGCCACCCGCTCCAGCAGCCGAAAGGGTGTTGCTGTCCTGCAGTATTCCTCTGAAGATCACGAGGAAGGTAGGCTTCAGTGTACCCCACAGTGCTTGGCTTCCCACCCAGGACACAGCAGTAGTGGTGTCACCTACCTGTCTCCTTGTCCACTTGTCAGTGTCTGCATATGCTCACTGTTGACAGAGGCAGAGCATTCAACAAACAAGTCCAGCTTTCAAAATGTTCCAAGTGAATGTGTTACCCACTGCAGTATTTGACCCAGACATAGGGTCTGACTTTCAGCTGATTTTGAAAATGACAGCTGGTAAATCACTAGGATCAGATTGCTTAAAGGTATTTAGAATGCCTTGAGCCTTTTGGCCTGGCCACACTGAAATTCTGGGTTTATATTTTTTTTTCTATGTGGGATCTAAATCCTTGCTAAACAGAAGGTAATACATGGAGGTGTATTGTAAAGCTTAAATTGTTACCAACTAAGAATGGCTTTAGTACTCCTCCATTCCTTCTTGGAGGGATGGATGTTTTTCCTCCTTGTGTTTTCTGTAGTCACTGGGATAGGATGGCTCAATATAGTTCACAGATTTGCTATGTTACTTTGACAGAGAAATTTGCTGAAGTGCAGAAAATAATTGGGATATTTTAATATGTCTGCAGCACTGGCTGTTGTAGAACAGAAAGGATTCTCGCTAGTACTGACACAAAGTAATGGATGTTTGCCTGAAGTATCCAGTGCTGGATAGTCACGTACATGCTGGTGCAAAGTTATTTGCGGTTGTGCAAAGCATTGCCTTGGCAAGAAACAATGGTGATGTCTTTAAAAAAAAGTACAGCTACTGCACAAGGTATGGCAAGTAAAAAGCTTTATGGAGTCACGTATTTTTTCAGGGCGTTTTCTTCAGTCAGCTGAAAATCTCTTTAGAGTCAAGCTTTTCTAATCAACAGTTTAAGTCTCTGTGACGGAGAGAAAAAAGTAATTTATTAACTTGTTTTCCATTGGTTTTGAACGATTTTCATCTGTTTGCGAAAATAAGATTAAAGGGAAGTTCTGCTTTATAGAGCCCTCTAGTGGTGATGTGCTTAATAAACGTAGGAGGGTTTTGGTTTTTTAGCGTAGTTAGCACTGAAAATGGGAAAGAGGTTTTGGGTTGGTTTTAAATTTTAAATTTTTTAATTTTTTTTTAACGCAAACGTAAGTTTCTCTACTCTCATCACTTGTGGATTGAAATATACTTTACACATAACTGAAAGCAACTTGCTAAACCCTGTAAAGAGTTTTGCATTGCCCCATATCTATACAGATACCTACTAATTGAAGAATGGACTTAAATAGAAAATGTGATTTGTTGCAACTGATCTGGGACAAGTGGGAAGGAAAAGCATCATGTGAGGTTATAAAGTGCCCCTCTGACACTAGTAATACTATCTGATGTTGGAGGATAAAAACAGCCTGAGGTTTTGGATTGTTTTGTTTTGGTTTTTTTTTCTTATGCCAGTATTAAAAAGCAATATGGTAAGCCATATTTTATCTGCCTTAGGAACTGTGGTTCCAACTTTCTAGATTATCTGTATACTTTAATACTTAATTCCTTGCTTTATATTTTTATCTTGTTGTATGAACTGCAGTGTTCTAGAAAAAATTACTTTTAGGTTAATGATAAGTAATGCCTGCCTTTAATTTTAACTTTTTTTTTCTTAATTCCTGTTGCTGTAAAATTAGCCAAATTTAAGAGGAGACAGAGACAATGTGATGGTATATAGGATGGACTGCACACATTAGAAACTTGCTTTTTAACCAACAGGTATGTATAAAATTTGTGTGGTCTCATTAACTGCTACTCTAAGTCTGGAATCCTATCCGAATAAAAATAGTAATGCTTTGCTTTTCTGAGACATTCAGCATTGCAAGCTCTGACTTCTGTGGAAGCTGCAAGATCTGAGATGCTTTTGAAAATCTTGCCAAGGTTTCAGGGGAGGAAAGCAAAGATATCAAATTATCACTATGCTTTTATCTTTTGAGGCGGGACTATGGGGCACTAGGGAAGTGGCTTCATTGCCAAACAGATCGTCTTTTCTTTCAGAACCCTCCCACCCTGTTCCTGCTTAATCCTTTTCTGACAGGAAAAATACCTTAATAATAGAAGTACCCCGAGAACTGTAAGAGTGAGTGTAGATTTGTGGCATTAAAGAAAATGTTTGCTGGTAGAACTGTGACACATAATTGTCTGTAGTAATGATGACTAAATGTTGTGACTGCACAAGTTTTTTATCAAAATTTTCTTACTTTAGATTAGGTGAAAGATGCAGGATGTCTGTTTTGGAAAGCTGAGGAGTGGGAGGGAATGCTCTATGAGTGTTTCATGGGTTAGAGAAGGGAGAGCTTTTCAAGTATACTTCCTTTCTATGGGATGGCTATATTCCTCAGTACTGCCTGTGTCACTACACCCTTATTGCTGCTCAGAAGACACAGCCCTAGCCTGGGAGCCTGCCTGAGCTGCCTGCGAACCACGTACAACTGAAGAACCACTGGTTGCTCATCCTTGTCACTTTTATACCCGTTATGAGTACAAAACTGGAGGCAAAAACTGTATGAAGGGGAACTGGTGGGAAACACCTTCTTTGATTGCGTATACTGATACTGCATATAAGCTCTTTGGGCAAGGGTTTATTGCAGCTAATATTTTTGCAGGATTTTGTGAAAGGTCTTTACTTTGGTGTGCTGCTACCCTCATCATTGAAGAGAAGAAAACACAAGCTTCTGCTGCTCAGGGCTTTGGAAAATGCCTAATGATTTTCTGCCCAGTAACATGCTTTGGAAAATTTGCCCAAAGTAAGCTTACATGTGTGTGTTTGGGAGAGGGAAGGTGTCAGACTTGTAAGGCATATTCAACAACCATTTTCTGCAGACCAGGCTATTTTAGAAATGTAGCAATTGGGTTTTCTGAAAGTCATGCTTCACTTCAGAAAATACTGGACTGTGTTCTTGTGTCTTCTGTCTGTGTCAGTTTGAGAGTTTAAATCAAACGAGGAATCTTAAAGAAGTAGGTCTTTAAGGATTTGAAGGGATGGACTTTAGAGTAAGCGTATCCTGCTTTTTAAAGAAATTGACATTTGTGTCTATGTTGTGCTGCAGTTTTGTGTGTTCACTGTGATGATGGGAATTAATTCCAAGCCAGGCTGATGACCAACTGGCCTGAGCCAACTTTTGTTGAGGTTTCCGAAGCATTGCACAAGAGGTTTGAAGGAAAAAGTTTGGGGGCATGTGACAGTTAATCTCTTTAGCAGTAAGAATGAAGTTTAAGCATACTGTTGGAAATGTACTCTGTTCTGTGCTGCTCTTTGTTTTAATTAACAATCTCCTGCAGAGATTGGGAGTGTAAACTTCTTTGCACTTTAGTCCAATTAAATCATGCTTGGAGGCTGTCAATGGTGGGGGGGGAACTCCCACCTACCCCCCCTTTTTTTAATTGTTCAGTGAGTCTGTTGAATAATGAAAGAATTTGCCTGACAGGGTTTTGTAGTGTTTCGTCGTCTTGATGAATTATTGCAGAGGATAGACGACAGTCTCTTTTGTCCAAAATGCATTGGAATGATTCATCCAATTCCTCAGAAAGTGACAATGAAGCTCATTCAGCCTTTACACAGACTGAGCACAACATAGTTGCAGCTTACTTAATAACAGCAGGTATGGGCATTGGCAAATTGTTGCGTAACTTTTTAAAATAGAACTGTAGATCTGAATGCTCACTTTGTATAGTAACAGCGATGGTATTTCATTTTGTATTACACAAATGTCTGATGGCTTTTCTCCATAGTTTACTGACAAGTTAGCAATCAGCAGGCTGACTGAAGTGTGCAGAAACATCTAAGCTTTCTGTTCTATATTTGAAGGAAGCGTTGTATCTCGAAAAATATATTTTGTTGATACATAATTATAGAATAGAGTGAGAATTGATTTCTGCCAGCTTGCAAAAGAGATAAAAATAGGGCATAGCTGTCACATCTTGCATTTTTCTGTGATGTGCTCGAAGCTATCTTGAGATTTCTCCTGGGCCACATGTTCGTAGTAATATATGTGTAGTCTGAGCATGTGAGCGGGTGTCTGTTAGGGGGATGTAAGGGGAAGGGTTGGAATGTGACTTCGAGGGAGGGAGCTGGTCATTAATCAGAGAAGAGCAGACTCCAGTTGCAGCTGTATTTTTCACCGATGACACATGTTAGAAAAAGCACGCTGAAAGGCTTGACATCGTGTTCATTCCCTGTGACTGCAATGGCCTTTGGCTAAACTTGAATTATTATGGAATTATTTTTTTTTCCTTTGAAAACTTCCTCATTGTTATGACCACAACTACTTCAGTAATGTTTTTCTGAAACATTGAGTGCTATAGCAATGAAATATCAACCTGACCAAAACCTGAAACCTACTGTGTTTAAAAATAGGCCTTCTATACCTTTATTATGGAAAATTAAATCAGTCTATAAATACTTTATTCACAGACTGTACCATATATTTTCTATGCTATAATTAGCTTTTAAAAAACTTTAAAATATTAATGTACTTTAGGTTTATATGAAATAGTATTGCTAATGGTCACATTTTATTTAGCATATCTGTTTGAAGTGGTGACTATCAAATTGCTGTTCTGATAAAGAGGGTGTTTTTGAATGCAAAGGCAATATATTTCAGGTTTTTAGAGAAATCGGTAGAACAGCTACACAGAGCAGTAGACTTGTTAAGAAGCTGTAGAGATGGATGATGGTCAAGTATTGGAAGGCTAGATACACTCTGCAGTACTACCACACTGTTTGCAGATAACTGGATCAATTAGGTGCTGCAAATATGTATGATACTTGTTATTTTAATTAACATTGATTACACTGTATGTAATAAGGTGGTCTTTTCACATAGTTTGACCACCTGGTGTTAGGGATCAAAGCTATAATAGGTGATCAATGGGATTAGTCAGAATCAACCCAGCTCTTCTTAATCTTGCATGGAAATTAAATGTCTTTCAAAAAAAAAGAAGTTGGATTACTTTGTGGGTTTTTTTCTTCTTTTTTTTCTTAATATAATTGGGGGAGTCTAGTAAATCTTTCACCTATAGCTTGGACTTTCCTGTCTTAATGAGGAGTGTTCCTGACAGTAAGGTCTATAACGTCTTTGAAAGTATGATCAATTGCTTTGAAAATGCCTTACCACAGCAAATCTCACACCTGGAAAAATTAAACTGTGTTAATACATAGATGTCTAAGAATAAAAATGAAGTACAGGTACAGGTTCATCATTATGCTGCTTTTTAAAAGGTTTGAATGCTTTTCTCTCTTGCAAATAATTGCTTTGTTTTCTGAGAAGGAAGTAATTGTAAAGTATTGCACTCTACAGTGGTCAGTGTATTAATTTTAGTGATGACAACAGGGATACACAGGCTGCAGGAAGCAACACTGCCTCATGGATATTCTTCACCTTATAATGGTGAAATTCTCTGGTATCATTTTAACTGAAAAAGTAAATTCCATGTTACACACGGACCTAACCTTCAGTGTTTTGATGCTACTACCCGTGTGTCTTGCTTAAGTCTGTTAGGACTTGTCTTTGCATTTGGTCTGCCTTTAGTTTTGTTGCTTCCCTGGGAAGAAGGAAGGTAAGAAATTCTGCTCTTGATCAGGTCATGAGGTTTTTATCTTCACCTTCACAAACCTACAAGATTTAATTAAAGAAATACGGGAATAGTTATCTAGCCCTAAGATGTTTCACAGGCCAAGTGGCAGCATCCATGTGCTTTTTCTGAATCACATGAGTTCGTCCCAGCTGATGATTTCAGGTTACTGAAGGTCTTGGTCTGCACTCCCTGCCCTCTAAGAAATCAGAGAATCATAGAATTGTTGAGGTTGGAAAAGACCCTTAAGATCATCGAGCCCTACCATAATAAACCTAATACTGCCAAGTCCACCACTAAACCGTGTCCCTAAGTGCCACATCTATACATCTTTTAAATACCTCCAGGGGTGGTGACTTGACCACTTCCCTGGGCAGCCTGTTCCAACACTTGACAACCCTTTTGGTGAAGAATTTTTTCCTAATAGCCAATCTAAACTTCCCCTGGTGCAACTTGAGGCCATTTCCTCTCATCCTATCACCACCTGACAGAAAAGACCAGCACCCACCTCGCTACAACCTCCTTTCAGGTAGCTGTAAGAGCGATAAGGTCTCCCCTCAGCCTCCTTTTCTCCAGGCTAAACAGCCCCAGTTCCCTCAGTCGCTCCTCGTAGGACTTGTGCTCTAGACTCTTCACCAGCTTCATTGCTCTTCTAAGGGACACTGCTTAACTGCTGCCTGGAGAAACTTTGTTCTACTTGACCTGATTCTGAGAAACAGGGAAGAGCACTTCTTGAATCTACATGTTGTTTCTCACTTTGTTCAAGATGGAATCCATCTTCTTTCTTCCATTTTGCTCCCCAGAACATTTTTTGGGGGCTCTATTATTAATTTGTTTTAGTGGTGCTAAAATTTTTAAGGAATTGGCATTCATTAGCATTCACAGCTTACCAATTTCTGCTTTCTCTTCCTTAGTTTAGTTTGGTTCCCTCTCCCCTCCCCTCCCTTCATTTTAAGACTGGGCTCTGAAGCATTAAATTTAAGTGTCTAGCAGGATCCTTCTTTCACCCTGAGGATATGACTTTACAGTTCTGTTGTATTTCTGATTTCATTCTTGGTAGCTGTAATATCTGTTAAAGCATGCCTCATAAGAAGCCTGTACTGTTTTATGAACTTGTAATTCTATTTTGCTTCTCCTCTCCCAAGAGATGACACACTACCTACCTGTCAACAGGTGAGGTGACAGAACTGGCACTGCGAGTGCTTTTACTGTGGTGTTAGTTTCCGATGAGATCCCCAGCTCCCTGCTTTTGTTAATTTTAGGGGCTCATAGCATCACATTGTCATTCCTGAAATGTGTGAATATGATAGCTGATGGCATCTATGTGGCTATGCACCTCCAATGTCATCTGTAATGTAATTTTTATGTACTAAGCAGGAGGCTTGCACCTGAGAACAGACACACTTGGTGGTTTTAAAAAGAGAAGGGAAAGAGAGATAGCCAAGAATGAAGTATAATTTCGCCTCATTAGATTTTAAAATTACAGAATCTGTTAAGAGACTTTCTGTAATGTAGGGGGTTGGCACTGATTAATAAAATGTTGCAGTGAAACTCCTTATGTGAGTTTCAGGTAAAAAAGGTACCAATTTACCTAACTGAAATGGAGAAACTCCATTTAAAAGCTGAAGAATTGGTGGTGTCCCTTGTGTGTGTTATCCAAAATATCATCTTTGTCATATTTTTATGCATGTTATTATGATTGCACTGGCTTTCCTTCTGCCCTTTTTCATATTTGTCATGGTATTAACATAGCTCTTGCTGAGCATAGTGGTTCAGATGGTACTTCTGATGTGTATTTGACTTTAGAAATGTCTGCCTCAGTTTGATGCACTGGCGTGTGTGCTTCACATCTATGGATTGTGTTCCTGTGGACTGCCAATGATGGAATCCACAGGACTTTCCATGAAGGAACTTCCATATCAGTACCAGTTGAAGTCTTCAAAATTCAATTGTAGAGCTGAAGTGCTTGAAACTGATTCTTGCCCTCAGGTTTTCTAACCCTGCTGATTTGAAGTTATTGTTTGAACTGCAGCGTGTTTGTAGTCTGACTATAAACTGATGTTAGATTTTTCACTCTGTGCTGCAGCATTGACAGTGACAGAGATGGAAGAACATTGTATAATACTTAAAAACCTTATTGCCCTTTCCACAGAGGCATGTCAGCAAAAGCTAAGTTGTGTGTGTCAGGTTTTTGGTGGTGGCAATAGAGGAGCAGAAATCCTATCAGTGAAGGTGATGGATTGCCAGGGGACTGGAGCAGGATGGGCAGTGACTGTGAAAGAAGATGGGTCTGCTTTTGGAAGTCCGCATTCAGTATGACAGCCATTCGTTCAATCTCCTTACAGAATTATGCCTCAGATCTGTGATGATGGAAACCATAGTGTTTTGATTCATAGGTGAAACTTCTTAAATAAAAAGAAAAATTCTGAGGGGCATTTCCACCGATAACATGTTAGACTTTTACCAAAATAACATTTCACAATGCACTTGTAATTTAAGGTGCCCAGGCTATACAAATGTTTGTAAGTTTAGGATTTGGTTCAGTAACAGCTGTGCCAGACTAGGGAATCCATGAACAATTTAGAAATTCCTGTTATTATTTACAAGTTATTTTTTTAATGGCTGTGTTTGCTTGACCATGTTGGAATTATCCATTTTATTGATAAGAGCCCTGAGTCTTTCTCTGCTGAGGTGCAAGGGGGAGTTTTTAACCTGATTATCTATTTATTAATAGCTTGTATTAATAGTGGGTTAGTAAAAGTTTAGAGGATGGGAGTTTACTCTGGATATCTCTGCAACAGGCTAGAGTCTGAAGAGAATAAAACCACAACAAACCCCCACCCCGTTTTGTGGGAGTGCCATGTAAAGTCACTCCAAGAGCCATGCAGTAGGATTTGGCTAAGAAGGAGGAATAGCGAGAGAAAAGGAGGATCTGGAGGTTTTAATATAGGTCACCAGGATCAGCAGGAAAAGCTTGCTGATGCCCAGCGTCCTGAAGAGTGTTCTGGGCACCTCAAAGAGCATTAAGTCCAAAGCAAATTTCAGATGGATTGGACATGAAGAGAGGAGAATGTACGTTTTAGCTTTAGTACTGTGTTTTTTTATTACAACTCTTTGTCTACTGCCCGTTTTTTGTGTTGCTTAAAAATAGACTTCAGACACAGTTTGGGTCAAGCCAGACCGAAGAGGTTTAAAAACACACAGGTCAGCGAGGCAGGAGCAAGTTCAGTGCAGAGCTGGACTTTCACCATGGCTATGACACAGCCCTAGAGCTCGTCGGGTGGAGGAAACAGCTCTGGTGCAGGCCCAGCCGTGCCACTGTGGCAGGTTGTGCAGATCATCCAGACTGCTTGACGAGGCCTAGAAAGTACCGTCTGCAGCCGCCTGAGCCACCTCTGATGCTTGCGAAGAGCTGGGACCTCATGAGCAGAGAGGGGAGTTGGTCTGGCTAGGATAGTGGAAGCAAAGTCAAAGCTTCTGTATTCCTTTTGCTCAGGATTATTGTCTGAATGCACAGGAGAACCTCTCTGCTGAGAAAGGAAGACCTCAGGTGGTGGCAAGGGCCTTCTGCTAGATCAGGTGCATCATAAGCCCTGCTTTTTTTGCCAGTCACCAACCTGCATTCTTTTTTGCCATGGAAGACAGCACTGTACTTGGTGGCTGGAGTGTTTGAATTGTAATCCTAGATGCTTTGTAATTTCTGCTATGCTTGTTGTTGCATCGGAAGACCCAGGTTCAGCAAAACACTCCACTTTTGGTCCTTACTGAATCCAAGTTACGTAATTGGAAAAGATTTTCTCTCCTTTTCAGGTGTCTATCCTCTTTGCAAAATTGTGCTTGACTGAAAATAAAGCTTGTTTAGGATTTGGATATTACAATAGGCTGCATTTTCTTCTGCATGTATATTACTGGCTGGTGTGTATCTTCTGTAAAGTTTCCCTTTTTCTGTCTTTACAGGTGTGATAAGCATTTTCAGTAACATTGTTGTGTTAGGCATCTTTGTTAAGTACAAAGAGCTTCGAACAGCAACCAACGCAATTATTATCAACTTGGCTTTTACTGACATTGGTGTTAGTGGCATTGGTTACCCCATGTCTGCTGCCTCAGACCTGCATGGAAGCTGGAAATTTGGCTATACTGGATGCCAGGTATTGCAATTCCGTCGGAGAGAAACTTTTGAGCACTTAAAAGCAAACTGAGAAATAAAAAGTAGCTCTACCTGATATTAGCTCTTTTAAGAGACAACAATTTCTGGATATAGGATTTTTTATGAATTTCATTCCAAAATTACATTTATAATCTCAAAAAAATTAAAGTGTAACCTTATATTTATCAACTAGAGATTTTAAAATAGATTTAAGGAGGCTTAGGAAATTAAATCCCCAAATGAAGAAGGTTATAGTAGCATATTCACATTTGTTGGTTTATTTGATAGTTAAAAGACTTTGGACATGGCTCCTGTTTTGATGATGATTTTGACAGATCTTAATGAGTTCTGCTTGGCAAACACATGTTCTTTTGGATGGTACTATTAGGATATCCAAAATGAAGTCCTGCAAGGCTATTTGTCTCCATTAAAGATTTAGCCTAGTTTTAATAGCTGTCTATTTTTAAAAATAGACTGGCTGAAAAATTATACTTCCATAGGAGAGAGATGGTGCCCTTTGCTCACTGTGTACTGTGATTTAAATCTACTTTAAAAAAAACAAACCTGCTGGGCTTAAGTGCCCAGGAGAATGACTAGTAATGTAAAGGCATGTGCTGAAAATGTGACTTAAGGAAAATATTAGCAACACTATACATTTTAGACCTTTATATAATGGATGTTTGTAACAATCTGATGTCAGTTGCCTGAGTACACGGTTATTTCAAGCTCAGAATTCAGTCACTGTTTGACAGGAAGCATCACTTGCAACATCTTTGGATCTAGACTGACTTGTAGTGGGTTGAAGTTGATGTTAAATCTCACTGCCAGTACTCTGGGAGTTAGGATCACTTGCAGCACAACTCGTGTCAACCTAAACCAAATGAATCCTGTGAACGGAGATGGCTGAATGTCATGTGGTTCTATTATAACCACTGGTGGCATGTGGTCTGGCACAGGGCTCTGTATTTCTGGGGTGCCAGTGGTAACAGAGCCCTTCCAGGCATCCTTCCTGGTCAGGCTGACCATGGGATGACTGGGCAGATGCATTTGGAGCATCTTGGGATTGCAGCATATGTTACTCTGTGCAGTCGATCTGACACATGTAAAAATGTGGGTGATGGGGTAAAGCAGTATACCATATCTGTAAAAAAAGTGTAGTTATACAACAGAGGAAAGAGTGACAATTCAGGACCCCACATTTGCTAAAGCCATAACTTTTTTGATGAATCAAATGCTCTTCAGGTTTCTTTAACATATACTGAAAACATGAATTGAGCCCCCCCCAACCTCCAAAGTCTTTATGTCTGAATCTCAAAATTTACTTATTGAAGTATGGTTTTTGTTTGCTTTTTAGACTACTGTCTTTAGGATTTCTGATGTGCACACAAGCAGGTTGCTTTTGAAATGTTTAATTTTAAATGAGCCAGCTCCAAATTGTCTGCATTGAATTAGTTCCTTCAGTACCCTGCTTATGGAAAAGAACACTGGCTGAATGTAATGTATTGTAGTGCCTTCGATTCAGTCCACAAATTTGTGCTTGTACCTTTGAAAGATTTCTCAGAAATGTTTTTGTCTGTTTGTTTGTTTTAATTTCAGATCTATGCTGCCTTAAACATCTTTTTTGGGATGGCGAGTATCGGATTGCTCACTGTTGTTGCAGTTGACCGTTATCTGACAATCTGCAGGCCTGATATAGGTACTGTACTTATGGTCAAAAATCGTTCACTGTTGGTCTTCTATGAAATAAGAGTCTAATTGTATTGTTTTCTCATGAATGACTCCATAATTACAGTGCTGGCATAATTTGAATTTAGGGCATGATCCTACAGTACTTGGTTAAGTTATCTAGTTGGCATGGATGGTACTGCTTGTGAAAGTGAAAATTGCACAATTAGGCTGTTATTCTGTTTATAAGTTGTATTTTCTTGGCTATCTACAGTCTTTAGAGGGCCACATCCATATACAGAAGGACATGAAAAGCCTCTAGCTGTGGGAGGTTTTGACCTCTGTCAGGCTGGTGTGTGCCTCTAAGTGTTGTGTTAACACTGTGCTGGATGTTTTTCTCTCCTCTCTGCTACAGCTGTACTGTAACAGTCAATTCCTCCCCCTGCAATCATGCAAAGATGTACTTGAATGCACTGTTGCATAGTAAGCTTTTTGGCACGGGGTTAGAATTGCCTGTGTGTTGTGAGTTGGAACAGGTGATGGTATTTAAGTAGCATTAAAGGCTGGAAAGCTTGGATGTTCAGCAGTATGAAACAGGTATGTTACAGTGTTCGGGAGTGTAGGCCTTTGAAATGATCATTATTAACCTGGCATACAGTTGCTGGAAGCCACTTGTTCAAGTTCAACACTGGAAAGAAGCAAAAGATGACAATGGTTTGTGATTCTGTGTGCTTGGCCACAGGAAGAAGAATGACTACCCGTAGCTATGCCACTCTAATCCTTGCTGCTTGGATAAATGCAGTCTTTTGGGCTTCCATGCCTAGTGTAGGCTGGGCTAGCTACGCTCCGGATCCAACTGGAGCAACGTGCACAGTAAATTGGAGGAAAAATGATGTGTAAGATTCCCTGTCACCCTTTCTTTTAAACTTGCTGTCTCCTGAAGGCTGAGATTATTTAATTCACCACTATATAAGCATAACTTCTTCTTTCTGAAGTATGAAGCCTGATTTATAAAAATCATTTTAAAACATAGAGCAAGTCTAGAAAAAATACAGGAATTCAGCCATGCTTGAAATGCAAGACTTGCAGTTGCTAATAAAAAAATTAAAGCTAAAGAAAATTTTCCTAATTCTTTAAGAACTTGTTTTAAAATTTCATAATAAATCAAAATATCAAATTCTTCAGTAACTTTTGCTGGATGACTATTTGTAAGTTACTGTGTTTTGTTTTTCTGTCTTATCAGGTCCTTTGTTTCCTACACAATGAGTGTAATTGCTGTTAATTTTGTTGTACCCTTAACAGTCATGTTTTACTGTTATTACAATGTTTCCCGGACAATGAAACAATATGCCAGCACTAACTGCCTGGAGAGCATCAACATAGATTGGTCTGACCAAGTAGATGTGACAAAGGTATGGTAAATGAGGGCATGTTTTGTTTTAAGCATGTTCTTTTGTGGTAAAGTCTTGGGGGCAAAGGAAGAGTGCAGCCTTTTAAGCATTTCTGTTTCCTACATTCCCCCTTTTCCTTTTGTACTAAATATTAACTGAAATTTAGCCTTGGTGAAAACTCTTGGCTTGACTTATAACACTAGATTCTTTACTTTTGGCCTAATACTCTTTCCAGATGAATAGCTACTTTGAAGGCTGGGAACAACATGAATTTTCCTTGCCTCTGCCCTCTGTCATTACATAGAAATGTACCTCAGAGGTGTCCTAGGAGGCCTTTTACTCTGTGTCTGCAGAGTCCTTAGGCTTTCTGCTAGGTTCACAGGTGTATCTGGTCTGAAATGGATTGGTCAACTCTGATTTGAACTCATGGCCTAAAAATGAAAGTGCATTTCCAAGCTCCCAAGCTGTGTGATTCCGATCCCTTGTTCTTTTAAGTCTGTTGAGCTTATCTCTTTCTTATGTAAACAGTAGCGAATGTGAGTTATGGCATAAAATGATATATCCTGCCTGGAAGGCTGACATTCTTTTAATGTATAAAAGTCCTTGAGAAAACTTGAAGTTCACTAGCTCCTATGATTTTGTGTAAAGATATGATTTATGGTTGGGCATGATAAGAATGTGAGAATTGGACAGAAGAGTGTGTACCTATGCTTTTGAATTACTTATCAATGCAAACTTAACATTCTTTGGAAAGCTCTCACTGCTAGATTCTGAAAATGGTATTTTTACTGAAAAATAATAATTTGAGCATTTTGCTCTTCTGAAGAACTTTCAGAAAGCTTGAAACTGAGGGTTCAGTTATAAATTTAGACTCACATTTGTGAAGAAAATGCATTTTCCTGTTTTGCAGTTGAAGACACTGAGTTATATTTTTGGGGGGAAAAAAAAGGAAAAAAGAAAAAAAGATTGAAGCTTTGGAGTTAAGCAGTATCCTTCTTTAGAATTGGACTGCTTGCTTTTTTACAAATTAGCATCTTCTAAGCTTTCTATGCATGAAACTTCTAAATGAAAGGGTTCTTTCTTTACATTATTATCAATAGGTATTGCATTTGTATTTAAATAGGAATCTTCTGTGGAGAGAGGCACTGCTTGTTTATTAGTCATGCTCTAGAACAGCTCATACAAAATAGCCATTTACTTCTTGTTTCTCATTTTGTTTGTCACTGAAAGACTGAATAAGGGTATAGGTAAACACCACAAGGGAATTCTGTACATACAAAGAGCTCTGCAGTTTTGTATGGTTTTCTAGTGATTTGTTTTGTCCTCTTGATTAATTTGAGATTTCCATTCCAGTTTCCATTACTGATTCATGTCCCTGGCAAAAGCCAAAAAAGTCTGTCCCAACTGATTGCTCTCCTACCCTCCCACTACTCCCAGTTTGTCACTGTTGAGTTCTAGCCGTGACATGGTGTGTTCTGGGGTGTGAGCCCCAATGTGCCCAGACTGTTCTTGCTGACAGGCAGGCAGAGAAGACATGACTGCTCAGGTATCTCCTCAGTATGATGCTTGAACGTGGCTATCATGCTTCATTAAACCAAGCAGACACTTCTGGGTTCCTTAAGTATATGGCCTGAGCCTTTGTGTCCTAGAACATTGACTTTCCTTTATTTAACTGTACCATAGTTAAGCCTTATGAAATGATTTTATTAACAACCTTATTAAATGTTTGGCTTAGATTTTTCTCTCTGTTCATATCTATTGTTTGTAATAGCATCCCTGAGTGACCTGTTATGGTGGTCATAATTCATATGTGCAGTTCTCTCTGGCCATTTAAACTTCTGACGGACAGGTTTAACATAATCAGTAGTGCTGACTGTGAAGGAAGATTGTACATAATGAAATAACAGCATGCCAAAATCCATGGCAGTGTGATGTGCTATTAAATCCCCAAAGTGAGATTTCATTATAACCTGTCAAAATTTGTCAGGTGTGCTTGTTTACATGTTGTTGTTTGGTTCTGGATAGCTCTATTTTCACACAGGTGCATGTGCTTTTGAGGTTAGGTTGCAAGGTCTTCATCTTCAGGTAATACTGGTTATGTGTCTGTTCCTCTTGTTTTACAGATGTCTGTTGTGATGATTGTAATGTTCTTGGTGGCGTGGTCTCCATATTCTATTGTGTGTTTATGGTCTTCCTTTGGAGACCCGAAGAAAATTTCTCCTGCAATGGCCATCATAGCTCCTTTATTCGCAAAATCTTCCACATTCTATAATCCCTGCATTTATGTTGTTGCAAACAAAAAGTAAGTGTTTCTAACTTAGTACCAGTCTACTTCATGATTTTAGCATATCATCTAACTATAGAAGGATCATCTGTAAAATATGACAAACTGACTAGTGAAGAGATAAAGGGTAAGCCACTGTTGGTTTACCAAAGATGACTTTTTGGACTGGAAAGTCTAAAAGAAATTGTTTTGATCATCATCAGAACATACTGAATTGATAAAGATTTTTGAGAACATGTTAACAAAGCCTTTGTAAGACAGTTTTGAAAGTCCCTTTGTGGTTTTTCAAAGGGACTCATTATGGAATTTGGGTTGTATTAGCAGTAGACTGGTTTAATGACTGTGGCCAAAATGTGTGGCATCTTAGTGACATGTAACTTCTGTAGATTTCCTTGCTTGATTTGGGATGTGTCATATTCTGACTGATGAGGATGGATTGTCACTTTTCGTTAAAGTAAATACGTTAAGTCTGTTCTTCTGTTTTAAGCAAGCATATCCAATGCTCTAACCAAGCCAGTGCCTCTGACTGAGAACTGAGTTTTGCAAAGAGGCATCCTTCCTTTCTCTTCTACCAACCTAGAAGCAGAGCCTGTGATCTCTGTCTAGGGGAACTTAGCCGATCGTGTCGAGTCAAAGAAAATCCATCTTGTTTTTTCCCCATTCTGTAAGTTCATCTTTATTGTGGCTATACCCTGCCCTGGGATAAGCAAAAGCTGCTGTGACCCCTGTTGTAAAAGAAACACTGAATTTAACTGAGTTATTCTTGTACATGGAAGTGAAAAAGACACAGGTCCTTTTGAATTCCAAATACACCATTTTTTATTAAGTAAGTTTTAATAAAATGGAAAACTATTGTAATACTTAAGGCCTGCTTACCCAGTTTTTCTTTGTATTTGGTTCTCCAGCTAATGATCTTTCTACTTTCCCTTTCTTGTCCTTTGCAGGTTTCGGAGGGCAATCCTGGCAATGGTGCGATGTCAGACAAGACAAGAGATAACTATAAACAATGCCTTGCCCATGAGTGTATCTCAAAGTGCATTGACATCGTAGAACTCATGTCATTTGCCTGCATAAATTAACTGGAAAGGAGTGAAATCTGGGTTAAAGTTAATTAATCTTTTGGAAGATTAATCTTTTGGAATAATAATCTGCCCCAGCCAGCCAGCTGTTTTCTGTTAATCACAGTAATGTTTTTAGATAGGTTAAGAAGACAAAAAGACAAAATCCACTAAGACTTTAGTTTTTGAGTGAGGTTTATTGGCCCAATATGTCTGTCCCAAACAAAAAAGGCTAGTGAAGTGGTCACTGTGACTCTTACAGGGTTGGACAAGGTGACACGGGGGCAGGGAGAGACTGGAGCAGGAAGCTCTTAGGTTTGATTTTGCACCTGTAATTCCTTTCATGAATTACTTTCCCTCAAATTCCCTTGAAAGTTTTCCAGACTTGAAATATTCTGGATTCTCCCTGTGTGAATATATTTCTATACCAAGTGTCCGTGTTGATATGCTTTGCAAAGTTCTGTTTCTGTGAATATGTTAAGTTACCAAAATACCTAGCCAAACCCTATAGAACGTGTTATCAGCTTTTAGGATTTTGAAGGAGTTTAAGGGTATTTAATGTATTTTTAAAGTTTTGGCTCACGCAACTGAATGAATTTGTAGGAAAGACAGCTTTTGTTTTAGTAGTAGTATGTTTCTAGTGCTTGTGACTGCACAGCAAATCCTGAAAATGAGACAAAATGCACCCTAAAGCTTGACACTTGGGAGGCCATAAAACTGAGTAAATATTTATGGTAATTTCTCATCATTTCTAAGTCAATCTCATGGTTATATAGGTCTGTTGTGTAATATTAAAAAAATACCTTTGGCGATGTGCGCAATGGATTTATTCAGGATGGAAAAGATGACTGTGTATAGATTTATCTATAAATGGTAGTATATGCACTTTTGATGATTCTCAGATTTTGAGAATAAATACCTTCTACTCTTATGTATGCATGCATCTGAAGTTTGGCTTTGCAGTGTGTAACTTATTTAAAATATTTTTGGGGGTAAAAACCTGTTTTTATGGGATTTTTTAAAAGCTCTGGAATCTAGGCTTCCTATTAATTTGTAATTCTTAGTATTAAAGAAAATGCCATGCAGTATCCTCATGCTGTACTAGATTTCCTTCAGGAACCTTGGAATGCTTTATGGACAGTAGCTAATGCATTGCCTGTTAGAAGGAGCAAAGAGATATTTTATTACATGCTAACCCTACAAGCTACATATTAAAATAGCCTTGAAACATGCTGGATATGATTTGAAATGGAGTATGTTCTTCTGACAGAACAAAGAATGAGCTGGTTTAACTGATCCCTTTCAGGATACATTTGAAGGTTAAGCAACTACAGATCTCACCTAATCTGATGTAATCTGCTGTTACTAAATGGATGTCTGCATTCACATTCGTAGCACACTGCACATGAGTGCCTAGGAATAAAGTTTTCAAATTTTTTCATATCAGTTCTGCTGGGAGGAAGCCATGTATCTGTTTATTTACTTCTACCTCCTAATGAGCTTTTTTGAAGAAGTGCATGGTTTTTGTCCTTCACAATGCACTTGCGTTTACCATGGCAGAAGTGATGGCACTGGAACAAGGTATATATTTTATTATTTGTTATACAAGGCAATTTATAAGGAAGAGGATTGAAGAAATTGGAAATAACATTCTTATACATTGCAAATTAGTTCTAGCATAGTTGAAATAAAGGCATATTTTATACTGGTTTTATATGGCTAGCAGCATTCCTGAATAGGAGCAGATGGTGATTATGGCTTTGTACTTAGCAGATAGCTACTCTGAAGCTTCAGTTTTTGCAGAAGGCAATTTCTTTCTGCTCCGTGATTTTCCTGCTATTGTAATGTCCTTTCTATTTCTACAAATTAGTTGTCTACTGTCAGGTGATTCTGGTTTAAATAAATACAGTAGTTTGTTCTTTTTTAATCTGCAGGAAAATCATATAGTTTTTGGTAATAAAGAGGTTAGTTTGAAATTTGATGATCTGGGTATTGTTATGTCAATTTTGGGAGATACTGTTTGTCATTGCTACTTATTGTCACGACATATCCAGTATAAAGCTGCATGAGGAGAAAGTAAAATAAATGAATAATATAGAGAAAAGAGGGAGAAAATTAAAGATGGGCTTATTGAGGGGAGGGGAATCTTCAAGCTAATATGTGCAAACAATGTACTGCAAAGAAATTGAAACATACTGATTCTTGGAACTGCTGAGGAATCCCATTTCACTGAAATCAATGGGAGCAGAAAGTTCTTAGCACCTCTAAAAAGCAGCTCATTTCCATGTAGACATCAGAAAGAGGGCTAAGAAAGGTCTCCTTTAGAGAAATATACTAACACTTTCAATTTTCAGTCTATTCTGAAAGGTAAATACAGACAAATACTTTGAATCTTCATCATGCAGAAGAATTGGGAATTAGTAATCCAATATTCTGAATTTTAGTAAAACAGATGGTGTGCAGTTCCCACTTGAGATACATGCATGTATTATTCCTTATACAATGGCTTTTGTTTTTTAGTTGTCAGTAGAATGATGGACAGAAGATGGTGCTTACATGCTTTATAAAAAAGCAAATGTAGATTTCATGTGAAAGTATCATTGCCATTTTGTATTCTTTTTCTCTTTAGAAACTCCATGTTTGTCTTTTCAGTTTTTAAATGCAGAGGGCTGTTCTTGATTTGACATTCTTTATTCTGCTAGTAGTGTTGCAGAAAGTAATAGCATTTGCATTTAAATCTGAAATACAAATTTCTGATAAAGAAATGCCAATACCTCTCTCTCTCTTTTTTTTTTTTTTTTTTAATGCTAGGTCTGTGCTCTGTAATGATCCTGACATGTATGAGATCCCTGTGAATGTTCCTGTGGATACTGTAAAACTTCGTATAGAGAAAACTGTCATACGAAGGATTCCAACTGAAGCCTTTTACTACCTAGTAGATCTCAAATACCTGTGGGTAACTTACAACTGTGTAGCCAACATTGATATCAGCAGTTTCTATAACTTGAAACAACTGCACGAGCTACGGCTGGATGGTAATCTGCTCTCGACTTTCCCTTGGGAATCGCTGGCAGAGATGCCCAACCTACGGACTCTTGATTTACACAACAATAAAGTGACCAGCATTCCTGCTGATGCTGGCCGGTACCTGAGAAACCTCACCTACCTAGACATATCCAGCAACAAGCTAACCACCTTGCCATCAGACTTGATGGACATTTGGCCCCCCTTCTCAGAAGCTGTCCTGTCCAAGAACACAGACATTCTGGCGACCCAGAGAGTCATTTTGGGTAAGTTAAACAGCCTGTCTCATTCCTTATTAGAATGTACCTAAATGTTAAGTTGCACGTGAGAGCAGGTGGGGGACCAGCCTGGGATTCAGGAGAGTAGGTTTCATCCCAGTCAGTCTTCTGGTTTGCTCTGTGAATGTTTATTTATTTATTTTCTGTTGGTGACAGAAAACTATAAAATGAAGATAGTGACCTCCATGTATGTTGTTATCTCAAGGTTATAAAACAAGTAAAATCTACGAGATTCCGGTCTACAGAAATACAGGCCATATAGAGTATTCAGTATCCATATAAATGCAATACTTCCAAAACCTCTGTTTCTGATGACATTTCCCTCATCACTGTGTGTGGTTGCAACTGCAAGCGTGTCCATTTGCAACTGTTTTTTCCAGTGGCTCACAAGCTGAACAGAGAGCTAGAGTTGATGCTCGTATGAAGCCTGTCCTGAGACACAGCGCTGCAGGTAGTGTTGGTGGCTCAAAAGAGGGCAACTCTGCTCTCCCCATGACTCCTGCTGACCTTGCGTTGCTCTAAAGCTGACTGATTATCCTGAAGTTTTTCTCAATTTACATGTTGAATATGAGAGAGAGAATAGGAATCTGATCCCTACAACTTCACAGTACTTTTTATAGTATTTAAGGTAAGTATTTAAGAATAGTTTGGCCAGACTGATTCTTTTCATAATTTTATTCTATCTCTCTAGTATACCATCGCATCAGTTCTGCTTGTGACTTTTTGCTTTATATTACACTTCCTCTCCACTTCCTAGTCCTGCAGGTAACTCCTTTTTCTTCCTCAGACTCAGAACATGGCTGGAACAGCTCTATCAATAGTGTTCTCTTCGGTCACTGTTTATGTATAAGTGCACTTTTTGACAATTTTGTACTGTAGTGTAGCAGGTGGAAGGGAGGAAAACCAGCTGGTGCTCTCTACTACAGTAGTTCTATACCCAATGGTAAAGATCTGCCATTGTACTGCCCAGTATTTCCAATTTCTTGATCTAAACCCCCACTATTCAGTGTTCATTTGTTCAGCTGCTTTGTTTCACAGCAGAAGCTGCAATTTGAAACTCTCATTCAGATGAGATTGTATGTAAGTAACTTAATAGATGCAAGTAGGCTGAACGAGTTCCTCAGATGCATGGTAACTGTAGGTTGCAGCATTAATAGGATCTTCATTTATTCAGGATTAAAAAAAAAAAGAAAAAGCTGTAAAAGTAAGTCTAGCTCAGTACCCCTTTCCCTGTCCCTGCACTGAAGGCTACAGGAGGCAGTAAAGTAGGAGGTGACCCTGCTGGATCTAATCCTCCTGATGATCTCATGTGGGAGTCCCAGAGGTTATTTGGTTTCCTTGTCTTACACAGCCCTCACCGCTTAAAAAAAAAAAACAAACCAAAAGAAACAACCCAAAAAGCAAACACCCCAAAACCACACACACTCTTCTCTCCTCCCCTTCCCCCTGGCAACCATCTGCGGTCTTTGTTGGTGTGGGCACTTTGCCAGCCTCCTCTAGTCCTGGCAAACCCTCTGGTGCCAGCACTGAGTTCTCTAGAGACTCAGGATGTGACCTTTGGATCATTTTCATTTATGAACTACAGCTGGGTTTGAACAGAGATCTCCAGAGGGGAGCACACACTGGGTTCAAACAGGGCCTTGCTTCTCTTTTTTTTAACTTTACCATGCTGAGAGAGGCTCTGCACAGTCGTTACAGATTTGGGTCTGAGAATGCAAAATGCGAGGTAGTACTTTCATTGTGTTGTGTTGAGTAAATCTACCTTAGGTAAACTGTGAATAATTAGCTGAATTTGCTTTCATTGACATCATAGACTTCTGATTAATATATCCCAATGCAGACAGACAGTGCTTGCTATATAAGAAATTCTATAGTGAATAAGAAAACATCCCCTTCCTCTGGAGGTTAGAAAGTGCAGTGCTCTTTATGTCATGGGTTATTTTGACAAGCTTACTCAGTCTTCACTGTTTCAGTTTATTATCTATATTACTGGAGCTTGCAAAGTTGTAGTTATGCCACTCACACTCGCTGCTAGAGGCTCATCCTTAGGTTGCTGGACTGTTAGAAAGCCAGTGTTTTTCAGGAATGGATGGTTGATAGAAACTATTAGGTTAGAAAGATGACCTAGGAGTTGAGATGTCTCTATAATGCTCCAACCGTAGGAGATACCGGCTTAGAACAACAGGAGCAAGATGTGCTCTGTGGCATTGCTTCCCCTCTGATACCCCGACCCCCTCCTGTCTCTACCAGGATTGCTGGAGCCTGAGGGAGGAGAAACACATCCAGTAGATACTCTCTTCCTTCTCTGAGGTAGAGATGAGGATCACAGAGGTGTGTGATCAGGAAGAATTTCAATAAGGTCCCTAGCCTGCTGGGATGCAGATCCAGATGAACTGAACCGTTCTGGTTAAGTCAGTGCTGTTCTTAAAGCCAGACCATTCCAGAGCCTTCTCTGGTAACCTCTTCCAGTGCTTATCTATCAGGATAGTGAGAAAGTTTCTCTTAATATCTAACCTCAATCTCCCTTACTGCAAACTAAGCTGATTACCTCTTGTCCTACATGAGGTGGACATACAGAAAACCTAATTACCCTCTCTTATAGTAACCTTTCATACATTTTCCTTCCCTGTTTGCCACCTTAACTAATCGCACTATTCTTTCACAAGTTTCTTATAGACTATGAGGGATTCTTTTTTCTCATTTTCTACCATAGTTACTGGTTCCCTTTGGACTCCTTTGGGCTTTAAAAAAAGAGGTTTCCCTTAAAGTGTGATGCCCACAATTGCTTTGATGCTCAAGAGTGTCATAAGTGCTCCATCTGTTCTCTGTGGGAGCATTCAGCCTGACCTATGTGCCCACATGGAATGGTAACTGCAGCCAGAGCTCTCTAGATGCTGGAACCCAAAGCAAATAAATGCTGGTTTTGTCTAGTCAGGAAAACAGCAGTCAGATTCTACTTAGTGCAAGCAATTACGGCTTGAGCTGGCTTCTCTCCTAGTTCTGGCAGAACAAGATTGTCACTTGTATTTAATTAACAAGATCAATAACAGCAAGGCCCCCAACTCAAATGATTGTGCATATGTATTTTTTTAACACCAGGAGGCAATTTTATCTTCAGTGTCTTGACTGAGCATCAAGGAGGTTGCATGTAAGAGAAAGTTCAGGTTCCTCTTGTTTACTTCAAGGACTCTTGGAGGACCCACGGACTACTTTTGCCAGGGGACTGGCAGGTTAGCATCTCCTTTCCAATTCATAATCTCTCTACTTAGGGTTTGGGTTTTTTTATTACCTCCCACTGAGTGATGTTCCTCTGTGTGGACACTATGCTAAATGAAAGAGGGTCAGGGAATGATGCCTGGCCCTGTAGCCAAGTGGCTCGCTCTGGCTCTCATCCACATGTTAGGGCCAACTCTTTTTAAAGCTGATTGACTGTTCCACACTTTGTACGATTTAGCCCTTGGTTTTCTCTGGGCTCAGGGGCATGCTGCAGTGACTCTGAAATGTGACTGTGTGGGTGGGGGTGTTTTTCCTCCAGTTCAAACTGCCTGAAGTAATGCCAGAATTGCATTGCAACCCGTGGAGTTGTGCTTTTGTAGTATAAAATAGCAAGCTATGTTGTATGCCTGGTAGGCTGATAGGCATGTAGGATAGTTTGGAGGTGCAAAGCCTGCTGCACTTATACTGGGGGCAAGAACAGGATAGAACGAGCTGTCCTTGGTATGGTCTTATCCATAAGCCTTTCAGGAAGCGATGCCTGGATTGTGAACTGTCCCTGGAGCCCTGTCTGGCTTTGTCTTCAGAGCACCCTTTGGAACAGTTCAAAACAAAGCTGTGGAGTGAGGTGACAGTTAAGCAGTGGAAGTGATCAAGGAACCAGTGTGCGAATTCATCTAACCCCCTCTTGGTTGTCTCTGGAGCTATAGCCTAATACTTTGGTCCAAATCACAGCTAAGTTTCAGCACTGGCTGCTGTAGAGATTGAAATTTCTGGCATGAGTGATGGCAGTAGCATTTTACATATGGGATATTACATCTAGCGAGTCACCGAGAGGAACAGAAGAATCCAGGATTTGATCAAGTGGCAGTTAGATGAGATCTTGCCTCTGTTGCACGTAGAGGTGCCAAAAATTTGAAGTGCTGCAGGTCCATTAGGCTGCCAGCTGTTATGCTGGGCCATTGGGTAGATGCTGCTTTTCCTGAAACTACTCCCTAGCAATTACTGTGTGTAGGAAACATTGGGACACAGTGCAGGAAGTGGGCTTTACTGTTTAGAACCATGGATCAAAAAATTTGTAGCTTGAGTTGGAAGAGAGCCTTGGGTAGTCTGGCCCAAGCTGTGGTGAGTGTTTCCATCGGCCCAAAACTTGAATATTTCACATACTGCCATTTTATAGGAACTGAAAAGCAGTATATTATACAAGTTATGGTCTGAGACTGGTTACTGATTTACAAAGGAAATTTCACTCGTAGCTATTTTGAATGCTAAAGTCCATATTGACACAGCATGGGGAAACCCTGCTTACTGAGAAGACTGCAAAAAAGTGCATGCACAGGCACACATATACATATATTTGCCATTGTACACACAAGCGTACATATAAATATGTGAGAAGTAGATTTAAAATATGCTAAATCTAGAATAAAGAATGTTTTTTAGGGCAATTTATAATCTATATTTAATGTTAAAATACACTGCATTGGTATATTGCAATGCATAAATATTTATCAATGTTTGTTTTGCCTTTGTTAGTATTTCTTTCTCAGGTCAACAAACTGCCTTAGTATTTCTACAAAAGAATCCAGGGTTTATAAAGACTTGGTGTTCCATCAGATACACATGCCATTGGAAACTTATCATTATTTTTATTTTCTCTTCTTAGGAAATTATTTTCCCGATGGGATTCCATCTCATTCCTTTATTAAAGCTCCCCATTTTTTCTGGTTTCTTCTTTTTTTTTTCCTTTTTTTTTAACCTTTTCTTTATTCTTTCATGTGTTTGTTCTCATTTTTACCATCTTGTAAACACAAGCTGTTAAATTTCAGAATGGCCTTTGTAGTTTGGAAACTAGGTTTACATTCCCATTTCTGTTCTCTCCAATAGCTAACTGAAGGATAATCAAATTCAGTGTTTAATCCTTGCTTCCAACTCAATAGTGCTTTCATCTTTTCATTTTGGGAATTCACATGACTTAATGACTTACTTACAATGGCTGTGCAAGTTTACTAAAAATAATGTGAATACTGTCAGATATTGGCAAGACACAGATAAATAGAAGGGATGAGCTGTGGAGGCAAGGAGGGAACTCCTGTAGCTATATATATTATATGTATCTATATAAGTCCTGCTTCTTTAGCCAGTTCCACTGGAAAGCATGATGGATGGGGGAGATGAGGTGACTAACTGAAATAACTCTTTCTTTGCACTAAAGCACGGAAGTAGAGAGTCTTCTGGGACTACAGCTTTCTTCTAAAGCTGAAACCAAGCCTTCAGAATGATCTAAGGTGGTCAAACCTCTGTCCCAGACTGGACTAAACAATCATCCAATCTATTTTGTCAATTTCTGGTACTTACTGTGACAACTTTGGGTCTTATTTGGGACATCAGGAGAATATGAAAGCTATGTATTTATATATATTAGGAAAAAATTTATTCACTGAAAGGGTTGTCAGGCACTGGAACAAGGAAATGTTTGAGTCGCCACCCCTGGAGGTATTGAAAAGATGGGTAGATGTGGCGCTTAGGGACATGGTTTAGCAGTGGACTTGGCAGTGTCAGGTTTATGATTGGACTCAATGTAGTATTAGAAACAATAATAAACCCCGTCCTTTTCTGCAGTAAAGCTTGTAGGATGCAGAAAGGTTGCAGAAGAAATTATTTCAGTAGCATTCAATGTAAGGGAGAATCTGCTGCCTGGTATGTGGGCGGGGAGCCCTACTGATGCTGCAAATCTGTCCTGATTATCGCTGTGGACCCAGAGCTTCTGCCCTACCGCCTGCTTGTTTGTAGCACAGCTGCCCCATGCTTCTGTCCTCTAGATAGCACAGAGGCCATGTTGGGAGTTCACGTGTGTTTTAGCAGCATTTGTCATGGAGGAACTCTGGCAGTTGAGGGCTTGGTTCAAGGGGATCCTGTCTTCCCTCTTACACTTTAGGGGAATTTAATTTTCAAATGCTCGTATAGTCTCTTTCTTAGCATAGTGAGGAAAATTGACCTCTTATAAGCAAGTGAGAATGAAAAAAAAATTACGGGAATATTGTGTCTAACTACAAACTAAAGCTTGCCTAATTTAAAAGATGAGCACAAATAGTTACATACGTGTGCTCGATTGGGCAGAATTTTTATGAGCACAAACGGTTCATGTGTGTAGACCTATGGAAAACATTCAGACGGTATCTCTTTTGCTTGTGAATATGTGGGAAGTTCACAGGAAATTTTTTTATATTTTGGAGGTTTTTTTCTTTTCTTTTAAAGAAAAGCAGTTGCTGATACAGTTTCCTTGATTTCTCCTTCTCCATTCTGGTGGGCAATAAGTAGTGAATAGATGTAAAATCTCATATGTCTGGAAGGGGTGAAATTGGATTGTGATGTCAAAGTCATGGACTCTCTTCAGGTCAACACTTGTTTTAAAGAGTGGGGATTAATTGGGCTTTACCGCAGTTTTAACCAATCACTGCCATTGTGCTTAAAATAACCTAATCTTGGTCAGGCGATAAAAGGAAGCAGTAGATAATTATTCATGTATTCTTTCATCTACAGGTTTCTTCCAGAATAAAAAGCAGAATTTTTCCATTAGCTGTTTTGATAATTCCTAAAAATACACACTGAACAATATTAGCAGGTGTTTCAAGTTTTTTTCTTTTAATTTTTGTTTAATTGATATGACTTTTCTGTTGCACTAATCAGTGAATTCAACAGCAACGGGTTCTTGCATACCATCCCTTGTTTCAGACTGTAAGTTCTGTTTATTGTTAATACTCAAAAAAATGAAAAAGGTATACCCAAAAGTCAAATGAGAAAATATTTGAACTCACGAGTGATGTGCTGTGTGGTGTTTTACCTGGTGAAGCTGCTGTTGCTCTATGAACATAGTGAAGTAATCAATACAAGCTGAGGATTTAGACTTCTATTCCTCAGAAATGGCTACTCTCTTTCACCATAATAAGGTCACCAAGAGGGAGAGGCCTCTCATTCAAAGGCTTTGGAATCAAGAAGCAAATGTTATAGCCTCTAACAGAAGAGGAGACATAGTGTTCTTGTGTGCCATCATAAAAATATTGTAGTCATCAGCTTTTTTCAGGGCCCTTCCCATTTTCTACTCTTCTGGTATTCTTTTTTAATGTATTTCAGAGGTTGTCCCAAATCAAAGCCAGATTTCTAAGAATATTGGTATAGTTCAGAGCCAGATAAGAATTTTATTGGCCTAAAGCTTTTTCTCCTTAGCCTTTATCCTTTTTTGAAGTGGCAGCGATGTTGATATAAGCACTAAACCCTTAAATCATCATGTTCTCTGCAAGCGTTGAAAAAAAGGTCTGAGAAAATCAAACTGTAAGAGCCCAAAGAAGGACTAAGAGCAGAGGAGAGTGATAGGATACAATAGCCCTGAGAAGGTATCTTTCCAGAAGGCACAGGCAGGTGAAAATGTTTCATCAGCCTTAGACACCTTTTCAAAGTGTTTTTTCCTAGATAAATAGCAAAATTAAGCAAAGGTAGTGCCAGGATGTTACTATGCTCCTGTAAACTGTGAAGAAAATGTTTAGCTTAATGAACATTTGTACTGTTCTTCTGCACCTCTGCAAAAACTCCCCCACCAATCAGCTGAAGGAAAAGGGCAAATTGAAAGAGAAAGGATTAACTCAGAATAGGTCCATAGTTCTTGATTGTACTTGGTGGTAGTCATGTGTCATACTGTAATCACAATATCCATATATTGCCTGACAAAATTTTTTTTTTTTTTTCTTTCCCCTCTTCCCTCCCTGCTTCAGGTTTGCAGGATAACCCATGGTTTTGTGACTGTCGCATTTCAAAGCTAATTGAATTTTCCAAAATTGTGGACAACTCCGTTGTACTTCTTGATCCATTGATTTCATGTAGTGGACCTGAGAGTCTGGCAGGAATCTTGTTCCAGAGAGCTGAGTTAGAGCAGTGTCTTAAACCATCTGTGATGACATCGGCGACAAAAATCACTTCCCCGCTGGGAAGCAACGTTCTGCTACGCTGTGATGCGACTGGGTACCCAACACCACAGCTTACTTGGACTAGGTCAGACAATATACCAGTGAACTATACAGGTATAATTGCTCTTTTATAGGAAATGGGAGAGCCTGAAATTGTTGGGTTGCTTGTGCTTTGAGATCATTATAATAAGTAACAATGGACCAGGTATTGCACCAAGCTGGCAATTGTATCCATGCAACAGCTGTTATGAAATTCTTTGTCTAGGTCTCGGTCTGAACAGGTTCAACAGACCATTCTGATTATGGATGTGGTCTGTAATAAGAACAATATGCATGGACGGGGGGAAATGGATGAAGCGGGGGAAGGATTAAGGAGAATGGGCATTGGGATAGTTGGTCCCTAACTCAGAAGCTGAAAAGCAGAAAGGAGAATCCGTTGCTGGAATCTCCATTTGGGTTCAAAATGTTAATGTTAAAAAAGCTAGTGAGGCCATAACTGAGCCACTTAAAACTCAGCTTTGTAAACATAGGATTATCCAAAATAATGTTTTCTATGTTATTTGCAAATGTTTATTGTTTATTTGCAACACCCATCTTGAATGCTGAAGAGGCTGTGATTGTCTGATATTGTTCTAGCTGCTATGATAGATATTTATGCAGTAACTTAAATATAAAAAATGTTTCTTGCTAATGCCAAGTAGTTAGCAGTTATCTTAAATCGTAGATCCGAAGAAGGTAATAGTCCAAAGCACTGAAATATTTTAAGACAAAGGTAATTTCCAAAAATGTTTTAAATGGCTAGTGTGTTCAGTGTCACTCAGTCAGTGAGACTTGTATTTCCTAGTCACTTAGCAGCTTTAAGACATTTGATTTCTCGTTATGAGGTTTTGTTTTACTTAGTGAAACTGCCAATTATATTGTAATTCCTCCAGACATTCAATTCCATTTTGACCCAAGCTGAGCACTTTTCTGCAGTAATATAGTATGTCAGGGAGTTCCATACTTTGTGTGTGGGGTTTAGTTTGGTTTTGGTGTTTTTTGGTGGGTTTGTTTGTTTGTTTGTTTTTTAAAGTTTAATACATGTGATTCCGTCTGGCAGAAATAACGGAACAAGTAGTCTAATATTTTCTCTTGTCCCCTTTTATAATGTTTTACTCTTTGCTTTTTCCTGTAGTAATTCAAGAAACACCTGGAGAGGGTGTCAGATGGTCCATAATAAGCTTGACAGGGATTTCATACAAGGATGCAGGAGAATACAGATGTAAAGCCAAGAACTTAGCAGGAATGTCAGAAGCTTCTGTTACTGTCACAGTGGTTGGTGTAGTTACTACAACTGTGTCACCACAGAAGTATGGAAGGAAGCAAGAGGCAGAGAGACAGAATACCACTCAGGAGGAATCCAAGCCGGAACCTGAGAGGACAACCACACCTCTTCCCACCACACCGACCACCACAGCACTGGTTAGCACTGAAAGATCAACGAGCGTCAAGTTTACTGAAAAGAAGCAATCCAGGCCCCTGTTTGATGGAAAGAAAAATCCAAAGGCAGTGACAAATGGAAACAAAAAGCAGACTGGGGAGATAAGCAAGAAAGGTGAGGAGACTTCATTGAATACAGCAGGTATGGCTGAGCAAAATGTTACTGTAAAGAACCTAAGAGTGATCAGTGAAACTGATGAGAGAGTGACCTTAACTTGGAAAACTGTCAATGCCACAAGCAACTCTGCAGTGACTGTGTTATACTCAAAGTATGGTGAGAAAGATATGTTGCCTCTGAGCACCGATTCTAGCAAAAACAAAGTCACAATTGATGGTTTGCAACCTAGTACTCAATATATGGCATGTGTCTCACCCAAAGGAGTGCCACCTACAAAAGAGCAGTGCGTTATTTTCTCCACTGATAGGTTAAATGATGAAAACAGCTCTCAGTTTTCTATTCTGATATTGGCCAGCAGTGCAGCATGTGTGGTTGTTTTACCTTTGATATTTTTCTTACTCTACAAAGTTTTAAAACTTCATGTGAAACCAAAAACTGCAAAGGAAGCTGACCTTGCAAAAGAGACCTATGTGAAATTTGAAACACTATCTCTGAAGCCTCGAACAGTGAGTGCAGGAGAGCAGCTCTGGGCACGAAGGTACACAGATGAGTCAGAAAGACTTCTCCTTTGTTCTAGGTCAAGCATGGATTCTCAAATGACCTTCAAAAGTGAGGGCTCTAGGTCTGAGTATCTGTGTTGAACATAGGTGAGGGTGGAGGAGATAGAATGTAAGATAGGTAAAATTAATCCAAAATGATGATACTGCATCTGGAAGCAGGTTGGTGCTAGGTGGTGGTCAGAATATATCATCTGATGTAATGCAGTCTACTGAATGGGTAGGGTGGTGGGTAAGAAGGTGAATAGAAGAAAAATGTTGCCTGTTTATTTTCTTTTTTTATGTTTGTGACTTCGGATATAAAGGAATGACATTCTTCAAAGGATAAATACAGCATGAAATGGTTGCCTGATTAAAGATCTTCTATTTTTTGTTCTCATTGAAACATCATTCTGTTTTCTCTTTTCTCACTTTACTGTACGATGTGCTAGTTGCATGTATCAAACATTAATCACAACCTTATAAAAATGGTGTACTTAAAATTAATAGGAAAACAGTTTAAACTACTTCTATTGAGGTCAAAACTTCATTTGAAAGTACAAGCTTTCTTCTGACTTCAGCTTGTGCTTTGAGATGTCATACAGCTCTGTTTGTACAGTATCTTGGACTGGAAGTGATCTCGGGGCAATCTAGATTGAAACTAGGTAACCACAGCTTATGGATTCTTGAGAGGTACAATACACATCATATTGTTGTTTTGCAGATGCTATGGCAAAGGAGCTTCTTTAGTATTCTGAAGCTCAGGTAAGATATCATTATGAGTAACTCTGTGAGAGATACTAGATATTAATAATGTTAATTTACATCAAATGATCTTATTACAACATCTCAGCCTTAGAATTTACTTGGATGCATATGTCTATATACCTCAATTTCAGAAATCTCTGTACAGAAAATTTTGTGGTACTGTGTAAGAGAAAACACACTCTTATATACCTATATATTACATAGATATTGCACAATATTATGTACTATACTGTAGTAATATAATACATTTCGAGATACAGTAAGAGGAGGTCTTGTCCTCGGGTCATGTTGTATGTGTAATGAAGTTCAATGAGCATAGCGAAAGTTAATTGTGAACATGCTTCCCAATGTTTAAAAAATCAGATATTAATATTAATAGTAATGATGAATGCAGAATTGCCTATTAATGATACTAATGATTTGTCTTTTCTGAGGCTGCTTTTTTATTGCCTGAAGTAAATAACAGAGCTTTTATAGTTTTAGGTTCAGATATTATGGTTAGAAGTATGTATGAATTGTTTTTCCTAAGAATTACAACTGCATTGTTTTCTTGGACTTTTCTATGCCTAGAAAAACTGTTTTGCTAGGAAACTGGGAATCTTCTCTTCCCAGAGGGAGAAATTACTCAAAGCTACAAACCAAAGCTTAGTAAGTTAACTTTAAAATAGTGACATTTCTTGGTGTCGCTACTGTAGGATTAAATTTTGCCTGCTGGAATGCTAGAGAGCTTATCTTGCAAGGCATAGCTTGGTGGGAGGAAAACACTTCATCAAAAACCCTCCAGTACTAAAATAATGGTAGAAAACGAACACACTGAAAAATCTCCATAGCATCTACATGATGGTGCTTCATCGTCAGGAATAATAGAATGAGTATTTGAGACCATGGGAGCTGTAGTAAGGAAGCAGATGAGATGTTCAGAAGTGCAAAATTAGCTTCACTGCATATGCTTTTAGAATTAACCTTGATGTTCCTTTCTGTGTTACTAGTATGTGTAGTTAAAGAGTGATCTTTCTTCTTTTTCTATGGATAATTTTGATTGCAGTGAAAATGTTTTTAGTTTTCTGAGTGGAATATTTTTATTTTGACAGTTTTTTTGAAATTTGGTTTGGTTTTTTTTAGGGAAAGCAGATTCTTTTTGTGTCAAAACCAAGGTTCATCTGACAAGCAGTTTATGATAAACCGAATTTTTAACGGGACCTGAAGTGTTACAATATTTGCCTTCTATTTTCCATATAGATAGTGTAGCCAGTAGTTGTTGCTGAAGGTGTTTCCAATTAAAAACACCATGTTTGTCATTAATGAGAGCAATTATTTTAATATTTATCTTTTAATTCCTGGACAATATTTGATTTCAGGTTTCAAACCTTTCAAGAAACTTGAATCTAATTCTGGAGTTCAAAAGTGCTGTCACCTGACTTGTAGATGATACCTCAATATATCGGACTGAGGTGGTGCAAAGCTCATTTGAAAGAGCTCACTTGCAAATGTGAAACCTTTTGGTTTGACTAATCCTTGTGGAATTAGCATGTCCTAAAGTTAGAAATTAATCTCTATGACCGCGTGTGCTATCAGTATATCAAAGATGGAATGTATTATAAAAGGCATGTTCTTTCAAGAAAACATGAGACACGTTATTTTCTCCACAGTTCTTGAGACAACAGAGTTATATAACCCAGACATGCTTCTGTACCTCATGTCAAAACAGCAAATTTTCTGGGGAATTTTGGTAGGAATTTGATCCAAAGGCCAAATCACACAATAAAGACTGCATCTGCATATAAGATGCCCTGGATCACCCAGGACTGGTTTAATTAAAGAGCTGAAGAAATACTTCTGGTAACAGATGCAAATTTTTATACTGTAAATTGTTAATATTAGTGATGGAATCATTATGAGATAGATTTTGTCACCTGTAATCAATTTGTATAATATCTTCTGAAATGCAATTCTGAATCAGTCATCACTATAAGCAGTGATGACTATAATCTGTGCTTGCCTGGTAGGAGAATTTGGAGAGGATTTAACCAATGTTTATGCATCGCTTTTCATATATTTTGCACTTTGTTAGCTCAATTGATCCTGCATTTCACCAAAAAGGTTAGACCTCTTTTTATACATTACCTACAATGGGTGTGTCAAAATTGCATGGTTAATGAAATAACTGAGTAATGTGAGCTGAATTCTAAACAGACCTCATTTTTACTTAAAGCTTTAGTAGGCTTCAGCACTTGTCATAGCTAATCACAATCCTGGCTTCAATGTGCACTTACTAAGCTCAACTTTAGGCATCCATGCATCTATTTTAGTCCTTGCCATTGCTCACAGTGGACTTTGTATTCCTTGCGCTATCATCAGATTGTCATACTTTTCTCAGGCGGGGGATTAAGAGAGAAAACTCTTTCATGTGCACCATGAAAATGTCTGTAATAGCAAAAACATTCAGACTTGGGCTATATCTAAGAGGCTAAACAAAGAACATTTTAAACTCATTACCTTTTCAAAGAAGTAATTAAAATACAAGTTGTTTTGATGTGAAAATAAAAGATTGTTTTTGTACATGACATTGTGTTTGCCTGACCCTTTCATCTTCGTTTATAGCTTTAGACAATATGTGATGAGTGTAGCTGTGGAGACAAGAGGAAATCTGAGAAGAAATGAGAGAAAATATAAAAAGAAGGCTGAGAAACAATGGAAGGGTAATATCCTAGAGAATGGTGGGACTGCGTACCACAAAGTCTTTTGCTTGCAATTCTGCTATGTCCGTGGGAAGGGTGCTGGGGTGTCTGCAGGCAGGTAGCTATAAAAGGATGGATGAAGATACTGCCAGCTTATTGCAATGAGAGGAGCTCTATACATGCCCAATTTAGACAAGGTGGGGGCAGCTATAAAACTGGAGTCTGGAACAAAGGCACTAGGGGAATTTGAAGAATGTACTTGAACCCGGTCTTAAAGCCTGCCTGTGCCCCAGTGAAAGTTGTGAGACCGTTTTGAAGAACATTGTCTATAAACTGAAAAGGGGGGAGTGAGTAGTTTATGCATTTATTGCAAGAAAGAGGGGTATGCATCAGTAGCAATTCTGGCTAGGGCATGAATCCTAGACATAATATACTACAATAGTCCATCATGATCTATGATATTCTTTTAAAAACAACCAATTTGTTAGATTTGTGGCTGGGAGGTAGACCAACTTGAAGTTCCTTCACAAGCACAGATGAGATTTCAAAATTAAACTTTTTAAAATTATCTAACTGGGTGTAGACTGGAAACATGCTGATCTGAATGCCTTCTCTCACAGAATTCATTGCATTGTTCTAGGTGTTATAGTCAGCCACAAAAGCTCCAGGCTAGCACTGTCACTTTCCTTTCTGAAAATGAGAAGTTTTCAATAGCACAGGTGTTTTCTCTTTTCTTTTTAAATCACTGCAAAAATTGTCCTCTGAATTTCAGAAGATCAAAATTCACATCAGACTGGAGGCATGATTAATATATCATTTTTATAAACTACTTTTTATAAGTCTGAAAGGCTCCCTTGCTAAACAGTGGTAAAATCAAACTGAAACATCAGTATGAAACAGCCTATAGCAAGGAGAGAATTCTTTTTACAAAGCTATGTACCTTATTCATCAGTGTTCAGGATGGGAATCTTTTCAATCAGTAAGGCAGAAAGCAACTATGAACAAAATGATATTGTCTTTCCCAAGACCTAGGTAAAAAAGATGCACTTTTTTCCGAGTTACTATTTTTTATGAAATAACATCCTAACCTTGTGTTTAGAAAAGAATGTGAAATTGCTCCAGTTATTGCAACAAGTTCAGTAGCACCTGTCAGGTGTGTATTTTAAATATATCTGGCCTAACTTAAACTCTGGTATTTTTGAAAGATACTTGAGTGGCTTAAGAGTGTTATGAAAGGAGTTGACTGCACAAACAACTAGAACTTTAACCTCTCATAATAGTGGAATACCATTTTGCCGACAGTGTGTGAATTACTACATTTTGGAGAAGATACTCTGAGAAGAAAATACTTTATTCTAAAATGTGATGAGTAATCAAATATTTGGCACACCTTTTTAAGGAGGAGTCAAAGGAATTTGGCATGGTGTGGGGTTTTTGTTTTTTTTTTTTTATGGCACTAAGGTGACTGAGAGAGGACTTGGTGAAATACTTCATGTCCAGAGAAGGCTAAAATGGAATGTGTTTTCTTCTCTCTTAATACAGGAGAAAGGAGCTTTATGTATGTGTGTATTGAGGGCAGGAATAGAGTATTCCAGTGTTGCCTCAGACAGAGTTCAAGTAGTTTCTTCTGAGGCCTCTGGTACGGGCTGCTTGTACTTG